GTAGTCGGGTTCTCTCATTTGACTCCAGGAACAACCTGAACAGCAAATTTATAGATGCTTTACATACTAAAACAACGTTACAGGACTTGGCAGTTAAGAGTGAACAGGAGAGAGGGAGGAAGTGGGGGTTAAGTGTCCTGCAGATCTGTGGTAGCGCGGCACGCGATATTTTTGAGGTGTATGTGTATTGAGTGTCATACAATAAATTGTAGGGATGAAGGGTTAAAATGAGGAGCGGAGGGGAGTAAAGGGGATAAATAGGTAGGGAGACGGATAATATATATAATATATATAACTGAGTCATATAGTTATATTATATCACCTATATATATATATATATTCATATTATTTCCATTTATTGATGATATGCATTACATGTGTATACATATATATATCTAATATATATATATATATATATATATATATATATATATATATATAATATATATTATATACATTGTATATGTATATGTATATGTATATATATATAATATATATATATATATATATATATATATATATATATATATATATATATATATATATATATATATATTATTATATATATTATATATATTATATATAATGTAATATATATATATATATATATATATATATATATATATAATATACATAAATATATATATATATATATATATATATATATATTATATATATATATATATATATATATATATATATTATAATATATATGTATATAATATACATATACACATTACATACATACATATGTACATATATACTATATACATATACATTTATATATATACATGTATATAAACAAAAAATATAAACATACATATGCACATATGTACACACACACGTACACACACATGTACGCACGAATTCCCGCTTTCGTCAAATCTGTCATCGTGAAAATCCTTTCCCGTCTAACCTAATCTTCCCAGTCGGCGAATCTGCAGACTAACCTGCGCTGGTTGCTGAGTCATGGCTACCGCGAGAGAGAGAGAGAGATAAAGATGCCCTTCGTTTCAAGGCCGAGCATGGAGGGCCATTTACCACACGCACGCACCTGGCCATCTCACGTGCACGTAAACATAGCACACTCATATCCACGTGTGTGCGTGAGACTATTACAAGCGCATGTGCATGAGGCATGTATTGTCGAAGTATGTGTATGGCCCTTATAGATACACTGAGAGAGAGAGAGAGAGAGAGAGAAGAGAGAGGAGAGAGAGAGAGGGAGAGAGAGATGAGAAGCGAGAGAGAGAAGAAGAGGAGAGGAGAGGAGAGAGAGAGAGAGAGAGAGAGAGAGAGAGAGAGAGGAGAGAGGAGAGAGAAGAGAGAGAGAGAGAGAGAGAGAGAGAGAGAGAGAGAGAGAGAGAGAGAGAAAAAGCGAGAGGAACGAGGAAGAGGAAGCGAGAGAGAGAAGGGGGGGAGAAGAGAAAAAGAGAGGAGGAAGAGAGAATCGATCTAGAAACAAAAACACTCCCAAAGGAGGAACTATTTTTTCACACAAGAAAAGAAGGAAAAAGGTTAACCGCAACACTGCCTCATTTTCTTTTTATATCACCCCAAATCTCTCTTTTTTATTCCTTTTGAAAATGAAAAAAAACTATCGTTACAATACATTCGTGCTGATACTGCACAACACAATAATATATAAATCGATTTTTTATCCACCTATTCTATGGTAATTATTCTATAATCTGTAAGATTTCACTGGTTCTCAATTACCTGTCTTCCATACTAAAAATATTGATGATTTTGCAAGTGGACTCTGCTGCGCAATGGGTATTTTTAGGCCGGATATGCCTCATGAGTTAGATATGTCAGCCTCTCACCTGTGCTTTTAAGCGGATGAGCTATGTTATAGGCCTTATAGCTATAGATATTCATCTGTTTATTTATTTTGTGATAAGCTTTTCAATTTGTTCATATCATCATGACATTGCCGATAGAGGGAAAAAAAACTAATATGCAGAGAGAAAAAAAACTATGCATGGATGAACTCCTCTCTTCTGCACAGATGATATTAATGATAAGATAAATCAATGACATATATCTCTTCTAAAGTCATAACTATTCCCAAAATAGCAAGCTGCTGATAAGAATCTATACTGATCCATATCCGTGATATATTTCCACACGAACAGAAGTTAAACTGGGTGATGGTATAATAACTATAAACACATCTACAAAATAGCTGAAAGTATCAATTATATCTAATACGAAAGTATCTAATATATCCCAAACGAGAAGAGAGTACGAAATACTAGTATGAATCAGTTTTTTTCTTCTTTTTTTGATGTCACAATCCACAAGTCGAAACTTTACCTACAATAAACCAACCAGACACACACACAAATAGAAACAAATCTCGACACAAAGAAGTAACACAGAATAGTCCAATAATCCCCAATGAATCTCTAAATAATAATAATATATATATATACCTTTTTTACACAACCCATAATTAATAACTTAGAGCCCGCCGGCATAAACTGTTCCTCCATTGGCTTCTGTGACGCGGAGGAGCGAGGTCATGGTGGACTGGATTGACAATCAGGTGAAGAAAAATCAAACAAATACGTGTTTTTAGTGATATATTTATGTATTTATGGCGGTGTAAGTGTGATTTAGTGTTTTTCCTAATAGTCTGAGGTATTGTCAATCTATATTTCGCTTTATTTTGATTGAAATTGGTGTTTTCGTGGTGTGAGGCATATTTTAGAGGCCTAAGGTGTGTTGCAATGTCAAATAGCATATATTATTCGATATATTTCCGTATATGCTGTATTCCCCTGTTTTTAAAGTGTTCTTAGTGTATTTGCCTTGACATACACCGGATATGACACGAGTCCGAGGAAGACAAAGTAACAATATCTTAATTTTCTGAAGATATAACGAGTTTAAATTATTTTGTCGAATATTTTGTGATATTTGGTTGTTTTTTCTTTATCATGTATCAGGTTCTAGTATGGATAACGTGTCAAACAGCTGTCATTTAGAAGGCAAAAGAATATATTTGGAGACAGCGAAGGAATGTGAAGAAAGGAGATATTTCGTTCCTTTGCAAAGCTCTTGAACGATTTTTTGACGATGAAAAAAAATATTTAAGAGAGACTGACTTATGCAGGAACCGGAGCGACACGTTATGTTAACTGTCCAATAAAAATAAAGAATTAGGAAGCGTTCAGGTGATGTAAGAGATGTGCATCGACAAGATGCGTATATATACCCCTGGCATGCAACAAATGACATGACCTGCAAGCCTGTCATAACTTTGTCATGTGTGTGCTCACCTCCACCGCAAGGCAAAGTAAATCCTGCAAACCTTCCTGGGAATTTACTCTGAAATAAGAAAATGGCCTAAGCTCTAAACTTGCGGGGATATATATGATAGAGGTTCTGCTGGCTTTGGTATACGCAAGGTGATACAAGCAATTGTTGTGGTCTCTGTGCCAGTCAGTTATCCTGAAAAGACTTAATTTGGTAAATCCTATTAAAAGTCCATATCAGAGATATTAACAACATTTGGTCATATGAACTACATTTTTTCTCTCTCAAACCAATAATATCATGTTATGTCTAATAGCTGGCCAGTGTATGAAGTTGAGAACTTACAGGATAAAGATTGCAACAACAGCAAAAGATACAGGCAAATCTTAGATATTTGGAACCGAGTTAGAAAAAAAGATAGATACAGATATGATTAAAGAATGTAAATAGAAATGGTTGGTTTGAGATTTTTGCAGATATCCGCACACTCTATGTATTACCTTGCCTTTATGTATATTCCTCTTTGCAATCATGCAAGCAAACCTGTTTTGTCTCTAATCTTATCTTACTGAAGAGTAAAGTAATATAGAGATTACCCTGATAATTCATGTAACAAGTCAGTGCCTTCCAGTTTTCCCATGTCAAGGCCTTAGTTTTTGCTGGTGAAGAGAAATGTGGCTGCAGTTATTATTCAGTTACACAGCATGGCACATGGATGTGGCAACTGTAAGATTATAGTTTTTCATTTGTCTTATTGTGCGAGCTACAAGATTGAAGAGTTTTTGGTAATTCTTTACAGTATGGACGCACTCACCATAGACTAACGGCCGGTTTGTTAGAATTGTGCGAGGCCCGACCCAAAGAATATTTGTATACTTGACATGCATAAATAAAGAAATAAATGCATATTTATCAGGCTAGACATACATATCAACCTGGAAAATAGATGGTTAAATGTATATCTATCAGATATATAGACAGATATGCCTTTATTTCTGCATCTGTATTTATGAAAATTCATTGGGTCAGGCCTGGCACAATTTTAACAAACCGGCCGTAAGTCCCCAACTCCATGTCAGAAAATGAATTCATCAATCTAAAAGCGTTTTAAGCAGGGAAAGTTCTTGCCTGAAATCTCAAGCGTTTTTCTTGCTAACTCAAGGATTTCGCTTGCTTTCTCAAGCGACCTCCGTAGATGGCTTGACTTGCACTTGCTAAGTCAAGCGGTGTACCGTCACCATGGCAACGGCGTCGGTCGCGTACTGTACTGGTCACGATCCTTCGAATGCGGGCGTTGGCCAGGAACTCCGCTTAATATCTTATCAGATAAATAATTTTTTCACGGTATCTGATTCTGCAATTTTCTTAAAATCATATTCAAAGAAATTGAAATTAACTGAAAACGAAAAGAGATAATGGAGATTATAGGAATAAAAAGTTTTACTTATGAATAATAAATTATTTTAAGACGAACAATTTTCCTCTTATTGTTAAACTTCTCGTCTTTCTAAATCAAGAATATATCTGCTATTTTATGAAATAAAGAATATTTCAAGTGAAAAAGTCTGAGAAATTCTAGCAACATTCCTCTGTTGATATCATATTCGATGATCTGTTATATTTAACCTCATAAAATCAGATATATGGGAATGGATAGGCCTCTATTTTAATTCAGGGATATTCATTTGTTTTGATAAAGCGTCAGAATGAAAGGGCTGTCAATCGAAAGTGTGTGTCATTGTTTTAGAGGCACTTTATATGAATATAGGAGAAAATATAGTGCTTTGTTAAGATGTTTAGGTAGATTTATTTACTTCTCTGCCATCTAGTTGCGGCGCTAGCTTGTCAGTTGTTTTGAATTGCGCGCTCAAACTGTTACCAAGCACAGGTGAAATATACTCCACCCTTGACTTGTGCATAAGTTATCTCTTTCCGAGATTGTTGGTGGGAATATTGCTTTTAAAACCCAAGTATGTATATTTCATGTGTTGTTTTGATATTTCTATGCTCATCAAGGACTGTTATGATTTGTACTTTATAAAAAGACATTTCCACATGTCTAGCATCACTGAAGAGGGCCTGCCTGCCTTGGAAAGCGTTTTAAGCAGGGAACGGTACAGCGCTTGGCAAGAATTCTTGCCAAGCACTCCCCTGCTTAAAATGCTTTAAGTTGCCATGACTGGCATGCCCAACAAGGGGAGGGTTGATGGGGGTTCTGCCTCCCAACACCCCCTGAGGAACATTGTCTTCACCTCTGTATGCATGGCAAGATAGAGCTGAAACTTTTTCCTTTATTTGTAGTGTTACCATTTGTGTCTGCAGGTTATTTCTTGTACCAATGACTACAACTTTTTGTCCTCTACAAAAATATCATTATCAATTTGCCCTAACTTTGTGCATCCATGCCGTAAAGATTAACCAAGTTTTTAGAAGGGTCAAAGTTAATTTCGGATTATTCATGTGAAATAGTGATAAATGAGTGGGATGATTGAAATAGAAGTGACAAAATTTGAAAATTGTGACACAAGTCTTTTCTGGTTGTTGTTACATGAATTTCTCCAGTAGCTGTTCACAATAGATCTATAACAGATTATCATGAGTATTTATTATTGTTCTTTATTAATTATCCCTTGCCCAGTGTATGAATTTAGGTATGTAATGAATTACCATTAAGACTTCTTAAAAAGGAGTATATTACATGTTACAGTAATTTATTGGGACACATCTTAATAAATGACTCGTGTGAAATGATGACAGATGTTTTTTCCCTCTACCCTTTTTATGTAAATTTCCATTTTTGCTATTTCTGTAACCCATTGCTGCCAGAAACATTTAATTTCCACAGTAGTTTTGTTTTGTAAATTGTGTGTATATAAAGGTGGCTCTACAAGTGCACAGTTACCAAGAGTCAATTAATAGGCCTTTATTACCTCACCTGATTTTATTATTATTAACAGTGATAATAATAATGAAAAATTAGAAGATACTATTTCTGAAAATCAAGGATAAGAGTAAATAGTTGAGATAGGCAGGACTAGTAATTGACTCTACTCCTATAGAGCCAGTTATTTGTAAACAATACAAATTATAAACTGAAATCACATTGAACATGAAAGGTATGTAGATCCCATCCCAGGTGGTATTGGGCTAAATATTCTTAACTAACCTGATTGGAAAATTTAAATTTGCCCAGGCGAGTTCATTTCTACTTCTTCAGTTACTATAGTATGGTTGGTGAAATTTGTTTACTTTCCTGGATACTCTTTCCTGTTATTATAAGAAACTTCCTTGGAAAAGTACCTCTAACTTAACCTGATACGGGTAAAGTCAGGTGAGGTCACAAGGTCTACATTGACTCCTTTGCGGATGAGCACTTGCAGAGCCGTGTATATGCTGAGATGTTTCACAAAGCAATACTACAGTGGACACAGCATTTTCCCAGAGACTTTGGGTTAAATATGATATGCCACTGAGTTGCATTAAATTGGGTGTGCATGGCCATTGCAGCCAGCTTGCACACCTATTGAAGAATTTGCATTAAAATGTATGGTAGTGTAGAATAGCATCAAGAAGTACATCTGCAAATTATCTTGATAGAAATATGATTTGAATTATGGGCTTTTGGTATTTCATACTACATATATACTGCAAACTTTCTTAAAAGTTTACTGGATATGCTAATATCTAGTAAACAAGTGACAGTTCTTTTGGAATGCCTTACACCCTCCTTTCTAGGTGGTATCTGTAGCAACAAAAGGCCACTGCCGGACCCTGCACAGTGGGTGATCCAATCAAAGTGTCAGCTCTGAATCATGGGGTAGTAACTTGCCATCTGATCACCAACATTAAAACCTTTTATGGCCACATTGTAATCAGCTACCGTAGATAATTGGGACACTGCACTAGCCCCATTATCACGTGGATCCCTAAGTATACAAGGACCTCTTACCTGGACATGGGCATTCACTTCCTCGTATGAGGTGAGGCAGCAGGAGGGTGGACGGCCACATACCTGTGAGAGTGGATAAGAAAGACAATTTAGTAATAATTTCTGACTGTTCATGCAAGAGTTACTTCCTCAATAGCAAAACATTAAAAGCAACATTAAACTTTTCTGCTAAGTGAAAAGTTGGAAATGTCAATCAGGATTAAAGATTCCTCGATTGCAAAAGTGAAGCCGCAGTTATCTCTTACTTGAAAGCACTTTTGAAGTAAATGAAGGATAGGGGACAAATGTTGATTTTTTTTTAATGAAAAGGATTGATTTCAAATGGAAAGAGGCATATTTAAAATATTTTTCTGTATTAAAGTTCATTTTGAAACATTGTCTTTTTGAACCATTCTTTCACCATTTATACACTTTTTGCCCTGTTGAAATTTCTCATTGTTTTTCAAACCATTTTCAAAACACTTTTCACTTTGAGTAACAAGTTAAAGGATTGACTTGTAAAGGGTTGCAGTATTTGGTCACCCCATCATACCATTGGTCTGTGCATCAAGGCACAGGACAAGAAAGTTTTAAGATGTTTGTAATGTTTTCTTTTTTGATTACCTTTCTCTTATTGATGTTAGTAATTACATTCTTGCCTGTACTTACTCATTATAGTATATGGTGTGTGCAAAGTATATTAGTATAGTTGTTAGTATTTTGAGTGATGTTATTAGAACTATATACATTATTCTTAGTATGTTATGCAGTATTTTATTCTTTATTTAGAAAGGTTTTGTACCGTTTATATTTTTATTGTTATATGCATTTATTTTTTTTTTATTTATTTATTTATTTATTTATTTATTTATTTGTAATATGAAGTTTAGGCCTATATACTATTTCAATAAGCATTCTATTTATTTACTTATTTATTATTGTGATTACAATTATTATGACAATCCAGACCATTATCACAGTTGATGATTACCATCATATATCAGTTTATTTTTTTATGAATTATTTATTTATTTATTTTCCTATTGTCTGCTATCTTTATCTATTCTATTATTTTTAGATTTGGTTTCTTTTATTTTCCTTTTCAGTGCACATAAACTTACTACTCATTCATATAGTTGCAGAATATGATGTGGGAACAGCATCACTTTACACTGCAGATTTACTCTTAAGAAACTCTTTAAAGTCTTGAACTTTTACAGTAGGCCTATGGTCTTTGCCATAAGTGGCCAGTACTCGTCTTTAGAATAGGACCACTTCAAGCAAAGGTATAGTCTTTGCCCTTTGCAGCCGGGCAGAGACCAAGAAACCTCCACCACATATGAACTGGCAAGATTGAGCTTGGAATAGTTCCATATTTAACAATAGCATTGTAGGAAATTTCCATATTTAACAATAGCTTTGTAGGAAAGTCTGTAATCTCTATCTTGCCAGAACATACGCGGTGCAGGTTTATTGAGCAAAGCCAGAGTGCAAGAGCCTTGGTATCCCGCAGTTCATAAATCAGCTGACTGTGATAAGTAATTATAGGTTTACATTTACTCTGAGATGATTATTATTTATTTTGTTTTATTTGTTTATTGTTTTTTTCTGACAGTGTGGTATTATGTACACAATGTTCTTTACAGTAGTTTTTCTCTTTATCAAATGGTCCTATTCCAAATAATTACCCTATAGTTTTGGTTGTCTTCCTCACAATTTTTAAAATCATAAATAGTGATAAACGTGCAAGACACACTACACTGCCAGCTACTACTCAGGTACCATTATACCTTTAATACAAATCTCTCAAACGTTTTAGGTCACGGCGTAATTGAATTGGCAAAACAGCTTTTATCATAAGAACATCATAATGGATCACACAAAGGTATGAGATCACATATTGTGTGTGATGTGATTAGTGATTTTTTTTTCTTTCTTTTTTTTTTTCTGTGAGCCTTAATGATGTAGTGTAAGTAGTTCTTAATATTTGACTTGTTTTGATATGATTTTTTAAAAATGTATATTCTCAGTATTTTGATATTTTTTCCTTGGACTAATGACTAATAATGTATTGTGTTTTGAAAATGGGTATTGGTAGTGGTATCTTTTTCTTTATATGCATTTTCCCCTGGTATCTAGTTTTATTTTAGTAGTTTTGTTTTTTGGTGTCAGGGAAAAGGTTTCTTGATTTGTGATGAGTTTTCTTTCTGTTGCATTTTTTTTTTTTAACATCTCTTTAACTAATTTTACAAGATTTTATTTTTATTTTAAGTTAGAAAAAGGAGGAAAGTATTTGTAACAATGATAATAATAACAGTGATTCTAATAAGGGTGATGAAATGGTGGTAATGTTATGGCAAAAAACATTTGTTACTATTTTTTTTATAGATTGTAGTGCCTATACTGATATAAAGGTATTAATTACTAGAGATGAATGTACAGTATATGAATATGTTTAAAAGGACATATTGTTAGGTTGCACTTGCTAATAGAGATGATAGTGCTGTGATAGGATGTTAGAAGATATTTGAAGCTTAAAATGTTCACAAAGATTTACACTTATGACAATAATGATTTGAATTACAATAAGAATTGCCAAAGTGCAGACAACTGTAGTTATCGTAACCACAATAACCAAAAAGAAGAAATGATATTTAAAACTAAATTTATGGTTGAAAAATAGTTCCAAGGAAACTACACAGAGAAAGACAAATGAGGGAGGAAAGATATCAGGCAGTGAAGGCTTTATCTCGCGTCCTTGAGGCTCAGTCGCTAATCATATGACCAGAGATACAGGAACATCTAGATTTACACATAATCCAAGCATTCAGTATTAGGTTTTGGCTTCTTGATTAATTTGTTTATTTCTTTTTCTTTACTTTTTTTTTCTTCTTTTCCCTATTTTTCAAACAGTTTCTTTTGTTTTTTATTGTATAATCCTTTGTGAGTGTTTAAAACCAAATAATGCTATGTGCTTTTCCATTTTATTTATTTAGTTCTCCCTCTTTTATGCTTTATTGATAGAACAATAAAGAACCCATGAATTGTGCGCTTTCACTTTTTTTTTTTTTTTTTTTTTTTTTTTTTTTTTTAGGCTACATGGCATGATATCCTTCCATGTTGATCATCATGTAGAATAGTGTTGTAGGAAAGAGAGAGATTATGAGTAATCAAAAGGTAAAGATTGAAGTGCTAATTTCTTTGCTTTTGGCTGATGATAAAGATGGAGAAAATTATTACAGTTCTTGCTTTGTAGTTATGATTTGATGTTGAGGTTGAGTTGCTCTTTAATGAAGGAATTTTACTTTTTAAGAGAGAAAAGGTTAAGAAATTTTAGAGGGAAGGAGAGTTTGTGCTTCTCTTAAGGGAAAACATTGGCTTTTTGTAGAGAAAAAAACTTGCATTTTATTCAGTGTTGGATTTGAATGTTATTATAAAATTTAAGATTAAAAGGAAGGGGAAAGGGATTAGATTTTAGTTGATGACTGGAAAAAAGGGTTTTCAAAAAGTTCTAGATGATTTTAACACTAGATTTAGATTTTTGGTGAATTACTGTGACTTAACATGGCCAGATACTCAGTAGTATAAAGCATATGACAGGTATAACAAGAATAATAGTTTCCAAGAGTTTTTAGGCACTATGTTTAAAAATCTTTCCTTCTTTCTAGCACATATCGCACTTGGTTGCCATTCACTTTTTCTTGTGTATTTTGAACATCACATCAAGGGTGACGCATGCTCCTTCTCACGTCTTTATGTTCACGTATCACAAGAGTATGGATTGGTCCTGAGTATTGTTATTTGGAAATTTTGAGGGATTTTTGGTTATTTACTCATATTATGTATGATTATTTCTTCCTTTTGAAAATCTAATTTTGACTCTTGGTGATTTTGGTTATTTTTAAGTCATGTATACCTACACAAATAATAGTGTGTATGCATGTGTGCGTGCATCCTTGCGTTTACACGTGCGCAACTGCAGTTGATCATGTTGATTTGCTTTAATGCTTATTTTGCAAATGTATTATGCATATACTAATTACATGTTTTACTTGGTATTTTTAATTTTGTTTGAAGAACTTGATAATACTATTCTTGATATTTAGTTAATAAGTTTGTTGCAATTACAACAGATGAAAAATTTAACATATTTATAATTAGATTGATTATTGATTTCAAATTTATATATTTAGTTTTATGGTTTTGATGCCTTTTGTGCTGTGGTATACTTGTAATGCTTCAAAACCATTCACATTCAATAAGAACCATTAGGAATTATTACATATTCAATGATAATCCCCATAAACACCTTTTATTTAACCCTTTGCACATAGCGATGCCCCAAAGTAGAAGCCATGACCGTAAGCCAGAGTTTTGCATTGCTCAGCTGTATCATTGTATCATTGGGTCAGTCCTGGGCAGCCTCCTGTCCAAATACTAGCTTGGATGGCTCTTTGATCTGAGAAGAATGCTAGTAAATCTTTGGGGCATTTCATCATTAAAGGGTTACTCATGCTATTGGTGTTAGTATGCTTTACAGACGCCATCAAAGCTTTACAACTGTGATCTGAACATGAATGAAAACCCCCTCATGGCTATAACCAAACAATTGATCTTTTTGCAGGCTATCCCCCTTCTGGTGGGTCTTGGGGTTGTGGTTGGAACAGCCATTCTGACCAAGTTGTACTTGTCGAAGAAACGCGGTCCGCCTCGCACCCTCCAGGATCCCACAGTCAAGTACCCCTTGGAGCTGATTGAGCGGGAGGAAATATCCCACGACACGAGACGATTTAGATTTAAGCTCCCAACCCCTGACCATATTCTTGGTAAGGGATTAGATGATTTGTAGAGATAGAGCTGAATTATATGATTTATAGGTTATTTGTATATCCATCTAAAGAATTATCTTGTCACAGTGCCAGGCATATAAGTGAAACAGGAGAGAATTATCAGTGAGTTTATATTACAGGTCTTCCCATTGGTCAGCACATCTACCTCTCAGCTAGAGTTGACGGGCAGCTGGTTGTGCGTCCATACACTCCTGTTTCCAGCGATGAAGACAAGGGCTACATTGATCTTGTTGTCAAGGTTATTTTCAAGTGTTTTGTTGTTTATCTGTATTTTTTTTCTTTTTCTTTTCTTTTAATTTCTTTTCTTTTCTTTTCTTTCCCACTCTCTCTCTCTCTCTCCATCCCTTTCTCCCTATCTGCCTCTCTATTTTTACCTGTCTTATTTCTTTCTATTCTTCTCACTTTCAAATGAACCTCCAGGACAAAGGTCTTTTGGGTCATGTCAAGGTTTGCTATTTCCACTTGGCTTCTGTTTCCTTCTCTTCTCTAATACACTGTTTTATTCTTCCCTTTCCCTGTTATCCTTCCCCTTTCTCTTCCTCCTCCCCCTCTCCCTCTTTCTATCCCTCCTATTTCCTCCTTTTCTTTCCTCCTCCTCTTCCTCTCCTCCTCCTCCCTCTTCCTCCTCCTCCTTCCTCCTCCTCCTCCCTCCTCTTCCTCCTCCTCCTCCTCCTCCTCCTCCTCCTCTCCTCCTCCTTCCTCCTCCTCCTCTCCTCCTCCTCCTCTCCTCTCCTCCTCTCCCTCCTCCTCCCTCCTCCTCCTCCCTCCTCCTCCTCTCCTCTCTCCTCCTCCTCCCTCCTCCTCCTCCTCCTCCCTCCTCCTCCTCCTCCTCCTCCTCTACCACCACCTTCTCCTCCTCCTCCTCCTATTCCTCTTCTTTGTCTTTCTCCTTTTTCTTGTCTCCATTACTTGTCTCCTTCCTCAGCCTCTTCCATTCCTTCACTCTCCCTCCTCTCCTCTTCTTCCTGCCTGATCCTCCTCCCTCTCTCTGAAGAAAAGGTATTACTAGGTACAAGTTGCATGCCATATTTGTCTCATGAATCTCACGAGTATAAATATTGTCTAACTTTAGCTTTAGTTTAATATTGTGAATTACAGTGATAACTTTAACAGCTGATCGAAATTTCAAAAAGACTTTCATTACGAAGTTTAGCTTACGGAACATGTCATTCCTCTTCTGCTTTCGAACTTGAGCATATTATGGTAGGTGAAGCTTTTATGAATTTGTAGATTTTTTTTTTCTTCACAGAACTTCAGATAGATCTAATGTAATTCACAAGATGCGTAAGGATTCTGGGAATCAGCACAACATGCATGTAGCTTCCTTTCTCTATTGTGGTTTCATGTATCCATGTTGCCAAGGTTTATTTCATTTCAGATATATATATATGCGCACGAAAACACACACACACACACACACACACACACACACACACACACACACACACACACACACACACACACACACACACACACACACACACACACACACACACACACACACACACACACACACACACACACACACACACACACACACACACACACACACACACACACACACACACACACACACACACACACATACACACACACACACACATGCTCACTCACACTCACTCACTCTCACACTGTCACTCACACACACACACACACACTACACACACATATATATAATATGTATGTACTAAACAACCCTCACATTCCCAATTAATAGCTATTTTTTAATCATTTGTCATTATATAGCACATAATTACTCTAAGATAATACGGGATTTTTTAAGCAGGAAACATTGACACTATGTGGGATTATCTATTATTACTATTAGTTATTACCCCCTTTATCTCCCCTGTACTGTATTTGCATTGGTGTCATGGCAACGTGAATAGGTGTGATATTTTTCATTGTGGACGGAAGCAGTATTATCTCTGTTTAGGGTTAATAGTATGCATGTTTACAACAGAAGCATACTCCTCCGTCCTTTATGTTGTATCCCGGTCATCTTTATTGTTTTTCTTCGTGTTGTTTCGTGTCCCCTTTATCATCATTGTGATTTTCCTAATAGTCATCAGCTGTAGCATTAGTAATGTTTTGTCCAGGCAGTTGTTTATTTATTATCATTACTGATTTTTTAGATATCATATATTAGAGAAAGAGATGTTTTTAGATTAATTGAAAAAGGTTTTATCAGTATTTTTTTATTAATTCATTTCTTTTTCAAGTTAAAACTAGATCCTCCTGTTTCATGTTGACTTTGGAAAAAGAAAATCCTTTTCCCTTGCATGTTTACATTTTATTATTATAAAGTAGCTAGTTTAGTTTGATACCCATTTTATATATGAGATGGTTAGATTAGATAAAATATATATATATTTTTTTTCCCCTCTCTGGTTGTATCTCATTCAGTTTAAAAAAGATGTTAGTCTGATTCTTTGAATATGAAGATCTATTTTTCATGAGACGGAATACATTTTGATTGACGTTTCCTATTGTAGACTGTCGTATTTAACATTTATTTTTAAATGAGGTTTTGAATTGGAGCCAACTTGTAGTATTAAAGGTTTAGGTGATGATTATTTGTCTGCTCTTTAATAGGGATTTTAGTTTGATTATCTATCTTATCACTCTATCTCTCTCTCTCTCTCTCTCTCTCCTCTCTCTCTCTCTCTCTCTCTCTCTCTCTCTCTCTCTCTCTCTCTCTCTCTCTCTCTCTCTCTCCCTCCCCTCCCCTTCCCCCCACTCCCTCTCCCCCTCCCACCTTCCCCCTTCCCTTCCCACGCCATTCATTCAAATCTTCCTCTCCCAGGTTTACTTCAAGAATGTGCATCCCAAATTCCCGGATGGCGGGAAGTTGAGCCAGTACCTCGAAGGGATGAAGATTGGTGAAACCATTGACGTGCGTGGGCCATCAGGTTTGCTCGAGTACCGTGGCCGAGGAGTCTTTGCCATTAAGCCAGACAAAAAGTCTCCACCGAACCTCACGACCGCCAAGAAGGTCAGCATGATTGCCGGTAAGAATTGGCTAGTTGGTGGTTGTGGATATTTTTCTATTTTTTTCCATTTCAATTCCTTCGGTTTTGCACCTCCTTTTCCTTCTCTTTTTCTTCATAATCTTCTGTTCATCCTCCTCCTCTTCTTCTTCCTCTTCCTCTACATGTGTACAGTACATGATGAATAGATATCAAAATAATGAAGTAAAAATTTTTTTTTTTTCCTTTCCAACCCACACGAGAATCCATATGATGCTTTGCTTAACTACTTTCTCTCTTACTTGTGCTGCAACAGGTGGAACAGGCATTACTCCCATGTTGCAGCTGGTGCGTCAGGTGGCAAGAGATGAGGGAGACAAAACACAGTTGGCCTTGATTTTTGCAAACCAGACAGAAGCAGACATATTGTTGCGTCAGGAACTAGAAGAGGTCCAGGCCCAACACCCAGACAAATTTAAGTTGTGGTACACTGTCGACCGTCCAGAACCAGGTGAGGAGATTCTTTCAATTGAACTCTAATTCAGGGTAGCAATATTATGGGAGTTGTTAAATTTGAATTTGTTGGCCTGGGTTGCTTTGAGGTTATTTTAACTTGCAGCTTAATTGGAACTGTATGAGTAGTTTTATATATTTTAAAAGTGTTTTTAACTTGCTACTTATATAGTTGTACTTCAGCAGTGTAGGCTAATTTAGTAGTTTTTTTGTTCTATTCTCCTTCCCACATATTTTAATTTCATTTCACTCTTTCATTCCCTTCCAGGCTGGAAGTATAGCAGTGGCTTTGTCAGTGCCGAGATGATTTCAGAGCACTTGTTCCCACCGGGTGACGACACACTGGTACTCATGTGTGGGCCTCCCCCTATGATCAATTTTGCCTGCATCCCAAATCTGGACAAACTTGGATACTCACCTAGCATGAGGTTTGCCTATTAGTAGCTGAAGAAGAAGGATAAAATAATGGCAGGCAGTGATTAGAAAACCTAGCACAGTTGTTATAAAAAGATGAAAAGAATGAAAGGGGTGTTTCCTGTAGTCTTAATATCCTAATCCATTGTCACGTAGAGTCAAGTTAGGATGTTGTTATGTAGTGAATGGTACGAGGATTGCGGTCAAAGAGAGTTCTCCAAGCGCTAAGAATAATCCCTTTTATTAATTTATTTGTCTCTTGCTTTGCCTTACAGGTTTTTGATAATATGTTGCAAGTATTACTAAAAATAGGGCAAACACTGTGGCCAATCCTCTCTTAGGTCAAGTCCCTCAACAGTATTGGTCAAGTCCTTCCACAGTATTGAGGGACTTAACCATCCCTTTGACTGCAATGCCTTGTTAGAGGCAACCATGCAGCTCCAACTTGCATTCCTGTCTTTCTCTGTTATATGGCATTTGTATCGTTAAGTTTTTATTGCTAATGTGTATGACATGTGATAATTTAAAAGATTTATTTTTTGTCATCATTTCCTTCTTAGTGTTTAAAAAGAAAGAGATTTGCCTGTCACAAAGGTAGTTTTATTTTAGATAAATTATGGTGTACGGTGAACTAAATTTTTGGAAGCAATGAGCATGTTATTTAAAGCATTTAAATCACATGTTATCTTGTTTGAGATGTATGAAATTAAAGTTTGTGTAAATATTTGTCTTTATGAATTAATAGAACTTTGAAGGCAGTAATGAACTAACCAGAAGATTATAACCTTGTTAGCTTTGGGTAGTTCACCTATGGTGTTTACTGTGACTAGAGTTGGTAAGAAGGAATTGCAGTGAGATTGCAGGGTAATAAAAAGTTCTCATGGCAAATATGTTGTTTCATTACATGGCCTTGAAAAAGCAATTTATATGAAGCCTGAGGGAGAACTTGTTGATCTTTTTACGTATGAATTAGAAGATTTGTTGAAGACAAATTACCAAACTGTGATGGGAAGGAAGATATTGAGTATTGTTGTTTCTTGAAATTAAAGTTGAGATAGAGATGTATATTTTTTTCTTCACCACATAACACAAGAATGTGATAGTACATGTGTGTAAATCAATTGTATTGATATGTTTGAAGGTATTTAGGGTATATATAATTGCATATCTCTAGAGTTTTGATTCATTTACATTAAGGCAAGATTTCTTTGCGTAAAGATGAAAATTCAGAATGATTAAGCATATCATAGAGCCTGAATTAAAATTATAGCCTGCAGGTATATAGACAATATAGGTATATAGAGCTTATGCAGTAAATCCAATATATGATTAAATTAAAGGAGAAAACTAACTTAACCCAAAAGCATTATATTATTATCTTTGATGGTTCAGTTAATGTTACACAAAAAAAACTTTTTTATTTTGAAATTCTGTTACTGAAGCATTTAAATAAATCCTAGCCTTCTTCTTCATTGTCTACCTTTTTCTCCCTTATTACTATTCATCCTTATTGCCCTCCTTCCCACAGTACTACATCACAACACTATACCCTGTCTTCCTCCCGCCTTACAGCACCTTACTCTAACAATAAACTTCTCTTCTAACGATTTCTCCAAAACCAATTAGGAAAAGTTTCCTTTTACAGTCATTCTAATCGTTCATGCCTTGTCACAGTTACATGCGAGTCACATGCTTGTGCACTATCTACCATGACTGACTTCACTGGCAAACTTAATCCTGCCCAACCTCAGTCCTCCCTTAATACTTACACTGGAACTGTTTCCATCTCCTAGACTGACTGTCCTATCTATTACAAAAACTAGTCAGACTGAAAACAACCTGTTTTCCTGCCAGTTGACCATGATGCTACACTATTACTCCTAGAGGCCAATGTAAGTCCTACACCAGTATTGCCAGAATTAGCTTCCATAGACAGGATCTCCCTGATGAAATTTATGTTGGTAAAGTGTCCTGCACTGTCCAACCATATTAACCCTTCCTCCCATAAAGTATTTTACGAGAGCTGCCGTGCCTACAAGCTCGAATTTAAGGTAGCAGTTCTCAGATTCAAACTAGGCCTCACACTCCATGAAGCCATAAAGGAAGTACCTATTCCATTGCAGTTCATGGCTCTGTTTCCCTGCCATCTGTTCAACATGTCTCATTATCTCCCCCAGTATCTCTTACCTCTACCCCTTACCATCCTACCTCTACTCCTACGGTCTCTCCCACATTCTAAATCCAGATGCTCCTATCTTTACCACTTCCCCTTGCCTACCCATCTTCCACTTTACCGATTGTGCTAGGCAATCTAAATGTTCCACCCAATCTTATACCACATCCTCTCCTACACCCACCTCTTCCTCTGATCTCTTCTCCCTCTCATAAAACTTTTGTTTCTCAGACCTTCCCCCAACTCCCCTCCAGACACTCTTGAAGATATCCAAAACTTCCTAAACTTGACCCAAGAGAATGCTCCACTCTCATCCACCCTCCAATCTCACCATTCCAAGTTCCTCTACATTCAAGGTAATTGTAGATATAAATTCTCTCCTCATTCAAGTTCCCCTACCCTCTTCCTCCCACTCTATCCCAACACATTCCATCCTTACCTTCTCTGTGTTCACCATTCCCTCTTGTTTCTCTATTATTCTTGCTGCTCCAACCTGGATGCTCATATGACTCCCTTGTGTTTCAAATATATCTGGATCCTTCTCTTCCTGATATTCTTCCTGATACTTCAACACCTTCCCCTGTTCTCTATCTCGTTCCTTTTTTCCCTTGTTCTCTTATCTCATTCCCAGATTTTTCTCCTCCTACTTCTCCAACACCCATCTCTACCCATATTATCTGTTGATTGTTTCATATTGGCTCTCTTGCAGTTTTCTTTATATAGTGTTCGTCTTCCTTCCTCAGACGCAGATACTCTTCTTTTCATCCAATCACCCTAAGCCCTTAAACCCTTCCTCTTTTATAAAGCCTCACTGTATTCCAATTGCTCTCCCCCTTAACCATGCGGTCCTATGGTGTTCTACAACCTCTGACATATAAATTTTATCCTAATCATTAACTCATTGTTACCCTTTTTGCCACAAAAGGGGTAAAGTGCTATATGACCTCTGATGTCTAACACATTTAATTGTCTTAAAAATTACCCATTAACCCAATCTTCAAAAGTGATAGTTAGAATTTAAAACTATTCAAAAATGCTTTGGTTATTCCATGATAAATTCAAGAAGTCTCCTATAGAAGCATTTATTATTCATATAAAAGTACAATGTTAAAGGAATGTGCTAATTTTACAGGCAGGTGAATAACTTCACACTATATATATATGTATAATATTTTTGGTTCACATATAGAAAACATACACATATAAAATAACTTCATATAAAAAATAAAGTTTGTGCAGCTAACTACAATCACATTTTGGACGGATAATTAGAATCACACAATAAGACTAGCATTGTTGAAATAACTCTTGTTGTGCCTTAAGCCTCTAAAACTCAGGAATTGGAGAAAATTTAATATTGCAATGTTGGTTATCGTTATGGAAAGCTAAACTGTTTGGAAATGCTGGGTCTGAAACCTATATACAACAAATCTTAAACATTAATACATGAGTACGTAAAACGTGTGAATATAAGAAAATTCATTGTGAGAAATTCTGAAAAATGTATGAAAGAGAATGATGAATTCCACATTTTATTTTGAGAGGAAAGAGTCATTCTGGTTTTCATAGATGTAATATGAAATGGTAATTACAGATCTTACACTGTGGAATTATTCATTCACATTCACATCTTTTCTCATGTATAATGATCAGACCGCTTTTCTTTATGTCAAGGAAATGCCAAGGGTATTGCAAGGTAAACTATTAAGCAGTTTACTACCCTAATGCCAAAGCTGTGAACCATGACATTTAGTTGTGTACAAGTATCACACCACATACTAAACTGCTTGGGAACTACACTGAAGTACATAAACCTGTATAAACTTATTATATACCAATATTGCACAATACATAAACATATAAAAGATGTCTACTAATTTGACTAGATATTTGACACAAAACAAGCACTAATAGATGTACAACATTTTTTTTCTGTCTTTCATTTGAATTGTATAATTGCATTTCTTGTGCTGCGGCTTCAGGCATCCATTCATACATTTCTTATAGCATAATTGGTATTTTAGTGCAAAGTGGATCAGTCTGGAAATGATACATCAAATGTAATATTACAGAATACTAACACTACCATATTACTATTTCAGACTTGTAAAACCAACATATAAAAAACAATCACATAATATATTTCAATACAATTAACCCAATGGCAATGGGGAGTAACAGTAGCACTCTTGGTGTTGTACCTGGGTTAGGAGTAAGGTCCCTACACAGGATGTACGTTGGAAAAGCTAGGGGGGTCTTGTTTCCCACGTTTTTAATTCTGGACATGCTGATTATTGTTTTTCACTAAAAACATAAATATGAGTGTTTGGGATGACTTTGGAGAGCTTTTACTTGAGTATAGGATTTAATTTTTCTTGTTTATGTTTGTATAAATGACCAGGGTCTTTCTCTCCCCATTTAACATCATAAATTTTCTTTTATTCTAATGCCATAATTACTTATTTTAAGAAAAAAAAGTCAGATTCCTGATATTCAGAACATTCTTCAGTCTCTATTCTTCCTTTTAGAATATATCCAACACTCTTTCCTAATAGGCTTCCTGAACATGTAAACGAATCACTTCTAAAATCACTAAAAGGAATACAACACAGAGCCACTATTCTAATTATAATTGCTTTCACTTCACTAATAATTAGTGTTCACAACCAGAGGCTTAAACCCATCACTACTGTTTTGTTTTATTACATGAGAAAACTCAAACTTTCTAAATACCTTTATCCCTACATAAATCTCTTTTAATCAGTTGTCTTTAAATTAGGAATGACTAGATGTTCATCACTATGGCTTTGAATTCTTTATGACTGCTTATAGATACTTCCTACAAAGTAAATACTAAATGTATATCTAAAATAACATCAAATATTGCAATAATATACAAATAAATAAAACCTATAGGTACATACAGTATACCCAAAATGCATACTTAAGATGTCCATCCTTTGTACAAAATTCCCATTACATATTTTTATCACAAAAAATAAATAATGAAAACTGGAAAACAGAAAAGAAAGTATTAAAATGCTTTGATAAAATAATTCACAAGGAATGTAACTGGAATGTTATTATCCCATAATCAGATTTGTAATTTGAAAAAGACACTTCAAGGGACACTTCACCAAGAAACCACATAAAGAATCTTTTTTCCAAACATCGTCACTTCCCATTGGGGGAACATAATACGTATAGCTTCCAGAGTTCGGAGTTCCTGCTTGTAAGTCTTACATGGAAAGGGTCATTGAAGCATAGGAAAAGAAAGCATCAATCTGCTGATTGCTGGTGTTGCTGTCTGCAGTCACGTACACCACCTGGTCCTCAGCATTTGCATTCAATTCCTGCCCGATCTGTGGGTAGAGATAATAATCATCTTAATCTCTCCTTTCTCCTTCTGTTACCCTCCCTTCACTTTCCCCTTTTCAACCTGTATTCATAGTCTACTCTTGGAATATAACTCTCTTTATGTAAAGAAAAACATCCTCTCACCTTGCTACATGCTTCTGATATCCCACTGCCGAGACACAGTAGTGCAATGATGGGTCCTCGGCTAATTGCACTCTTGTACTGAGATGTCTGGAACACTCTCTGGGCATCAGATATCTCCATTTTAACCTCACGGCTGTGCTGGATCCTGCAACTTTGCTGAAAACAGAAAATTATTGTTATCCTTACCCTGGTAAGTTACTTTTTTCCCAGTGCAATCAGTCAGTCACTCAATCAATTTATATATATTTATTTATAGATATATATATAGATTAGATATATATAGATAATATTAGATTCTCTTTAATGATAGTTATCACAGTAATAAAAACTTTCATTATATTATCATTCATTGCATATTAATAACAAAAATAATAATTATGTGAACTATTACATTTGGCCCAAAAGGGTTGTAATCTAACATCTTCCACACTTACAATCTTTGATTTCAGAGAGCTAATGAAATCCATAGCTTTTTGCTGGTAGGTTTCATCAAAGAAGAAAATAACAAGCGTGGCTTCCTGTCCCCCATACATTGGTGAGCCAAGAGTGAACGGCACAACACTCGTTTCAGTTCCCAGCATCAGTTCAACACTGAAAGGTTAATCATTGTTATGAGGAAAATCTTAGAACTAATTCTTGCATTGATCTAGCTCACTTATTTGGCGACACTGCCTTGGACCATTTACTACTATTCACCCCATTATTACACATGCAATTCATATTACTCCAACACATGCAAACGTACAATATTTTTATGTCCACAGAAATTACTTAAAATCATAAATATCTTGGAGGTTTGATAAACTTTAGCCATAGTAATTGAAAGAAACATAGGCTGTACCTCTTCAGCTCCTCTGTTTCAGGCAGCTTGAAGGCTTGTTCCAGGGCATCTGACTGGGAGGAACAGGACCAGTTGGTCTCTCCTTCAACAGGCGTGAAATCGTGTATGTTGGACCAGTTGTTATTGAAGATGCTCAGTCCAGCGCCTTTGAAGTGATCTGTGAAAAAATTTATCCAATATTAATAATGTAATAAAAAATACTAACTATTCAAGTCATGAAGCAATATATACTCCATTGGTACCTTCCTGCTGCATGAACAATGATCTTTAACCTTTGAGCTGAGGATAGGAGGCTTGGAAGCAGCCAAATCTCATCTTGGCCGAGGCTTCGATGATAGGCTGTGTCTGGCAGAGAAGGAAAATATCCATCTTGCAGCAATCTCTGGTCCTGAATTGTCCACAAGCAGCCATCACGACACAGTCCTGGCAGTCTCTTAGGAACACACTGTTTGAAGAAAAGGCAAAATTTCAGAGAGAAGAGAAAGAAAACTTACATCGCTTTTTTTTCCTCAATGTTAGAACTCACAGACAAATTTAATATGAAATACCAATGACTGTCCGATCATAAAAAAATAGAGCACTAAAGGAAAGCTAAGTTGCACAGGAAAGGCAAAGCAGACATATCTTAGTAACATCATTACACCACTTGTACCTTCCAGTCGTTGGCCCAATGAATATGACGCAGTCCGAGCAGTCATCTACAGTAATGGTGTTGATGAAGTCAAAAAGGTAAATTTTTGATGACTGGCAGTTTTGAATGATAAACTGCTGTCCGTTTATGGTGCCTGGAAGTCGTCCTACTTCCTCATTACTAATGTTCTCGATTGTATAGTCCGCTGGGTTGACCTTCTCCTTCTTGTCCCTGTTGTGAAATTATAATACAATTTAGAAACATCATCGAAAATAAATATGCTATTTAGGTAGACAGATAGCTGTAAAGATGTGCACAATAGATAGTTTAATTGAGATAAAAGGATGAATTCAAATATCCATATACATCCACACATACATAAACGTCGAACTCAGTAAGCTAAAGATTTTGTTTTAGAAACTCCTGTAACGAAGTCACTTAGATGTACATTTAATTACATTTAACTGAGAATGAAAAGTACAAGCTTTCATTAGTTTCAGTTGGATAAGCTGCCTTGTAAAACTGATCATAATAATTCACAAAAAGGACAGTATAAACTTACTTATCGTCAATAGCTTATAAGTTTTCCATTATAATGAACACAACAGGAGTATCCATACTAGTACCATTCACCCACAAAATGTACGGATTTGTATTCTTGTCGAGACAATTATACATTTTCCTATGACGTGAAAACCAACCTTGCTTAGATAACGATCTTCAAATTCACTTTCTCGACCAATAACCCGAATATCCAGCTTTGTATCTGAATGTCAGTGGTTTAGGGTTATGGGAACATTTTTTTCGTATTTTATTTCAAAGTTCTTATTAAAATATAAGTGCAGACACACCCACTATTTTAATAACATGAAAAATGACATATATGCCTTCTATTAATCAATAAAAATTGCAATAAAAACAGCTAAAATCACCTCAGCTTCTAGAAGAAATAAAGGAAACCCAGAGACAGAAAGAGAATAAAAAATAACACCTTAAAAATAAGAATAAATTAGAAAAAAATCCTTCAATATCTCATCAATATCTCGAATCTCACCAAGAATACGTCTTTGGTCCCTCATTCTCCTCCTCCTCTTGGTATTTCCTCCCTTCTTTGCTCCCTTTGGTGTGCAGGCAACCCATGGCGAAGGAGGGGGGAGGGAGAGAGAGAGATAACGAAGAGGAATAACAAGAACAAGGACGATAATAAAAAGAAACTTTGCGCTGATTTTCCTTCCCAAGAATTCCTCTTATTATTTGTTATTTATTTATGGTTTTTGGGGTTTGCTTGGTTGGGTTGGTTGTTTTGGGAGGATCTGTCAGTTGTAGAGGCTTGTATGTTATTTTTTGTTTGTTTGTTTTATTTTTTTTTTTTTATTATTTCTTAATTTTTTTTCACGGGAATTTCGTTTGTTTGAATTGTTCGGATGCGTGGTTTCTGTCTTCGAGGGATGGTTAGGATAGCACGGACGATTGCCTAATCCAAAACCTTATCAACGAAGAAACCCTGAAGCTTCAACAGATAAAAACAAAAAAAATCACAACCATAAGCTTAATTATATATATCTCTTTGTCCCAAATCCACAAAAAATGAAAATAAACATTAGACTCGCCATGGCATCCGGACGCAATGTTTACAAGTTGAAGGCCTGACATCCACGTCTGTCGAGGAGCGAGAGGTGAGGCTTCTCTTTTGTCCATTTTCTCTTAAATTGAGTCGATTCTTTCAATTTTTTGGTAATTAGGCGATCGTTCTGGAGGTTAAGGTCATCGTAGATCATGAGAACCTGTGAATATTTCGTTTTTTTAAATTTATTTAGTGGTTTATTGTGAATTTCTTCACAGGCACCTGACATCTTTTCTCTCGTGGGTCGGTGTGGGTACTTTTTTTTTACATTTGTTTTCCACTTTTGTTCCTT